ACAGTAGGGGTTCAGGGGCTGCCCTACGTGTAGTTCAGCTGTCTTTGCTGTGGCTGAGGGCAGAGGGACAGCTGGGACAACAACTGCTTTAGCAATCCAACTGTAATCTGCCTGCGTCCGTGAGTCAGCACCCTCTGAGTGCATCTGTCTCCGGCGCCGAGGCAGGACACGCATGCCGGAGTAGCACAGCCTTGCTTTAGACACTGGACAACTGGGAGAGGTGAGAAGAGCAGGCTCAAGTGAGCTGTTAAGCAATCGCTAATGGCACAAAGTGACACAGCTTCAGCTTTGCATGGATTGAGTAAGGAGTCATAAGATGAGGAGAGATGTTCATTTAAACACAGCTCGTTCAGTGACTCCACAGCTGTATTGGCGTATCAGGAACCCCAGGCATTGAGCACCACGTGCTCCTGGGTCAGCCCAAGGACGAGAAAGGCATCCAGCGTCACCTTTTCCTTGCAGTTGATGCATTTGCGTGACATGAGCGCTGTAAAAGAATTGCAGCCCTTGAAGGCCTACGCTGTGCTGGCTGAGAAGCAGAGCTTTGTGGCAGATACTCCCGAGCCTTGGATTTGCCCGCGCTGCGTGCCGGGGGCAGAGTGAAGTGGTTGGGTACCCGTCCTCTGGCCCAGGCAGGGCAGAGCAAGGTCCCCTCAGGACTTGGGTGCTGATCCTTCTCACTTGCAAGGGACTTGGTGCTTCCCTGCTCCCTACTTTTTTACCAGTGGCAAACTTACCCTGTGACACCCGACCTGTGCCACAGTTAGCTTTCTGGATCCAAAAAGCACCCGGGAGGGTAATTTGGTTTTTTAGGGTCACATTGGTTAAGCCTGGAAGTGTGTGCAAAATAAATATGGAGTATTTTTCCTGTCAGTCCAGTTTGGAAGGAAAAATTTCCTTACTGAACTCAGGATCCAGAAGTGTTTGCTGGCTCATTCCTAATGTTTGCGTGTAGCTACACATATTGGTTGCGTAAATCCGTACCAGCCAGAGCTTCACCTGTAATCCCGTAGACTAATTTGGTTTACCTGCGCCAGGTAGTAAGAGAGGAAGACCGTGGTAGAGGGAGCTGTGCTGGGAGGATGCAGGTGGAGGGTTAAAATGACCATGACTTCGGTAAATCACTCTGCAGTGATGGCTCTAAGTGCTCGTTGTGTTGTAAACATCTCTCTGTGCATTGACCTGGTGAAAATGTAAAAGGGTTTGAGGTTCTGTTCGATTGCTGCTCCTTATCTGACTGCGTTTACATCCGCTGTACGCTGTGCTCTCCTCCCTCCGCAGCACCTGGCTGAACTCCACCTGTAAATCTGGCTGGGGCCAGCCAAAACCGCCGCTCACTGACACCGCTACCCCTCTCCTGGCCCTGCAGCTCCTGGCTGGTTTATGGTGAGCGCATACACAGAGCTTTGTCCTTCCAGCTCTGTCTGCTTTGCCCTCCTTTAGCTGAGGTTGGGGGAAGCAGGCTGTCTCATTGGTATGGGTGGAGCTCTGCCGCACATCGCATCGACTCATGGGTTTTTAGAGCCAGGAGGGACCGTTATGTTCCTCTCTCCTGACCTCCCGCGTGACACAGCCCATTAAACGCCGCCCCGCCGGCGCGGTGATGCGCGGTGGAGTTAGAGCACCGCTGGTAGGAAGGCACCTGGCCTTGGTTTAAAGGCTCGGAGTGACGGGCAGAGCCACCCCAGGCCTCGAGAAGTTTGTCGCAGGGGTGAGCTCCCCTCCTGCGAGGAGTTGGTCGTGCTTCGCTTTCACATCGTTAAATCTGGTTTTACCTTTGCGATAGATGAGCGCTGCCTCTCCTGCCCCTTTGTGTTCCCTGGAGGGGAGGTGATGGAGAAGCGGAATTCTCCAAGGGCACGTCGGGAACCGTGGGGCCAAGCCCCTGGTCTGGCCACAAGCATGGGGCATGGGGACTCGTGTCCTCCTCCGGCTGCGGCCGCGTCCCCGCGGCAGCTCCGGTGGGGAATGTCTCGTCTTGCCCTCGGAGAATGCTCGCCAAAGCCTCGTGCAACCTTCTCCCCTTTCCCCCCCTACCAGTACTGCTTCTTGCACGTTAGTGGCTTTTTTCTCTGTCGAAAATATAACTGATCGCCAGACTTCTTTTTAATGGAGCCTACTGGGATGAGAGCAGCCCACTCAAACTCGCGCCCTGCCCCACAGGGCTCGCTCTTCTGCAAAAGCAAAAGGCAGCGGCTGCTGCCTTCCCTGGACCGGCTGAGTCCACACAAGCTCTTTCTTTTATGTTCCCTTTTTGAATTTCACCAAAAAGGGGTGTTTGCAATATCTGGTCATGTTGTTACTCAGTGTGTAATTTAGATGTCTTTGTCAACAAACAAAAATGAAATAAATTAAAATTTGGTAGAAAGACAGCTCATGTTTGGGGTGATGCTTTTCCTGCGACAGGGTGGTTTCCGCGGCTGTCAGTCGAGGGCTGTGCCTTCCCGAGGAGCCGCCAGCCAGCCTGCGAAGCTGCTCGGCCTCCGCTCGCTCTCCCACCAGAGACGGTCCCCGGTGCTAGAAGTGGTCAGAACTGCTGGAAGAAGCCTTTTCCCTTTGGCTTTTACCTTGTCCAAAACGATCAGAAAAGCCAGCCAGCGAGAAAGGCAAACTTTGGGAGCAGCTCCTTGTTTCAAAAATCATTTTGTAACTTAAAAAAAAGCGTGTCACGAAACACGTTCCCACCGACCTGGCAGGAAAAAGGAAGAGGAAAAAGAAAAGCAGCAAACGATCTGGGTTAGGTTCAGCGAAGCGGGGTTGGGAGGGGGTTTTGAGGGAGGGCAGCGAGTTCTGGGGTTGTTTCTTTCCAGCTAATTTGACTCGTTACTGTTCCTGCGACACTGGGATGGGCCAAGTGAGAAACTGTTAGAGCTCTTCAAAGCATCAGCTGCCTCCCGGCGTGGCCAGGATGCCTGGAAGGCTGTCAGAGCCGCTGGAAAAAAAAACATTATAGATGGTCACACTTAATTTCTTTTCTCTTATTTTTTTTTAAAGCACACTTTATACTGAGTCCTGGTATTTTTTCAGCGAAGTAGGAAATACTTTTTCATCTTTTTTGCCTAATGGATTGGATGTGAGAAAGATTTCTCTGGCGAGTGAACACCCTGAGAGTTGTTTGACTTGTCACGACGTTATGTATCGGCCCCTGCGGCCCCCGGCCCCTGAAGCCGCCGCGCTTCCCCTCTCCTGTTGCTGTTTACGGTGGGACACGCTGTAATTTATGGCGAGGCTGCGCGGGACCCTGCCTTGGGGCGGC